TCTTTCAAGTTGGTATGGAAATATATGCATACAGGAAAGACGCAGCACTACCTGACTCTAACAAAGGGGCGAAAATTACACTGAATCCTCTTGACACCTACGAAGGATCTTTTCAGAGTATGATTTTAGCTCTCCAGGTTTCTGGACTCTTTGGAAAGGCAGCCAAAAGATCTTCATCCATTACACTTAACGTCAGCTTTTGATTCAGCAACAAAACTGAACACTGGAGAAGTGTCAGCATGTCTACAATTTGGGCATTCTTAAAGAGTGTTAAAAACAATAAACTAGTAAACAAAAAGTTGTCTACTTCTTTCCCCTGAGACACTAAGGATGGGGAAGCCTCAGAATCTTTTCCTGTCTTAATTACTCATTGACCAGCTGGGACATTTGTCTCCAGCAAGGCTTATGGGTGATGCTAAGTGGTTGGTGGATAGCCTCCTCCTCCTCTTCGAGCCAGCTTTCAGGCAGTCCTTGGAAGAAGAGGACATTGGACCTTACTCAGTCATTAGGCACCTGCATCATGCTTATTTTTAACCTTCCTTTAGAAGAATGTCCATGTTTGTGCGTGTGGGAGGGTAATGTGTGGGTGTGGTAAGAGTGGGAAAAAGATAAGCTGTAGGTTGCAAGAGCCAAGAGACTGGGAAAGTCCCAAGGGCATGTGTCCATGTGTAGGGGGGGGGGAGCGACTGGAGAAGAAGTAGCAGAGGTTCTTGGAGGAGGAAGAAAGCAGCAGTGCATATTGTGGGGTAGAGATGGGAATGCATAACTGGGGGGAAAGGCCAAGCTTGTACCCAAGGAAGACAAATACCTAGAACAAGCCCTAACATCAATCAGCACCTTGGCTTAGAACCAGACTAGCATTTCTGCAGGTGGAAGGACTTCTCTCCAAGCTGCGTGACTTCCCCCCTTCTGTAGCAGCCCAAACTGCCCCCCGAAATCCTGTTCCTAGGATCCCCTTTCTCCCAGGAACAGGAGTTGAAGGGCATTTGAGGGGAAGTAGGAAAGTCATGCACCTTGGACAGAAATCCTTGCACTTGCAAAAATGCTAATATAGACCCACACCCTTAAAGGTCATTTTCATTCTCAAATTTTCAGGTGTTCTGTAAAATTATGTGAAGATTAGCAACTGATAGTTGCTTCTTCCAGCAAATTTCTCCATGACTCTTTGGTCAGAGTTTTGCCACAGTGCAGCTCCACCATGTAGATTAAGGACTGACCACTATAGAAATCTGTCTCCAGATGTTTAATCATCTCCCCTTGCTTGTCCCCACTTCCAATTTTTGTTCTATGCCTGTAATTCTTTCCCAAACGTTTGTATTTTGCATCACCTAGGATATTATGGCATTACAAAGAGAGTTATCATGGTGCTTCTACTAAAAGTGAAATTTTCTTAAACATAGTGATTTATCCTGTTGAGCAGAAGGATATGAAATAATGCTCTCTCCTCCTGTTTTTATATCTTGGTACTGATTTTTAAAACCTCATGCATAAACTTTTCTATTCACTTGAGTTCTGACATACGCCCCCACCTCACTCCCCTGCCACTTCAGCAACTCACTTGTATTTCAAAATAAATAGATCTGAGTCACTCTGATACATAATAGAACCACATTCTTTGCCATAGCAGTGGCCAGTGAAATTGCCAGTGCAGCCTTGCTCTGAGTAAGCCCCAATGCAAACTGAACCCTAGGTTACCTATTCATAAATACTGTTATTAGTGCAATGTATATAAATGTATCAACCAATCTATATATCTAGGTAAAGCATACATTTTATATAGAAATCAGTGTAAGACAAAACACTTAGACAAGATCCAAATGTGGAAGCTATGGTAGGTGGGCAGAAAGATCTGAGGAGAGGCAATTGCTACTGAAATGCCAAAGTAAAAGTTTACACATTGCTGAGACTAAGAAACACATGGGTCACTTGAATTATTCTCACTTCCATGGATTTAAGGCAGAGGTCATTTCGGGGGGGATCGCAGTTCCCCCGGGTGAGATACGGGGGGCGGGGCACATAACGAAGCCCCGCCCCTGCTTCCGGCTGCCCGGCTTCCGGCCCTCATTCAGCCAGGAGGAGGCAGGAGAAGAGGGAGGGTAAGTTGCTTCCTCCCTGCCTCTCCCCACCCCTGCCTGCCTGGGGCCAGGGAGGGCCATCGCGGGGCTTCCTTGCACTCCCGCCGGCCTCGCAGGTCCACCGCCGGACCCCTCATTGGGCTCGGCAGTGGAGCTGCAAGGCCGGTGGCGGCGGCTGGGACCGTTGGGGGTGGGGTGTATGGCCTTATGACACACTTCTGGCGATTTCAGGGGGTGTGGCATATGCTAATGAGAGAAAGAGTGATCAAATATCAGGTTGTGTGTGACCACCCAATGGCTCTCCCACTATTTTGCTAATTTGCTGAATGATTTTTGTGAGGATTTGCACATGTGAAACCTATAATAGAGCAGAAGGAAATGATTTAGTTGGTACACACTTATGCCTAACCTTGCAGATAAAAGGCAGTAATGCCCAATTTACATTAACCCTTTCTACCATTAAGTGATAAATTAAATGACAAGGGCCTAAATTTTCACAAGCCTATACAAACCTGTATATTTATTTCAGCCTGCCAAAATTCTCTTCTTGTTTATGTATACATGGGTATCAATTTACTAAGAAAAACTATACAATACTATCCCACTGGACACCTAGAGTTAATTTTCTGCTTCTTTATCCATAAACAGATTTAGCTTGTGTAGCAGGACCTGAAACTTGGAGTGACATCAGCTTTGCAGGAAATCTCAACTGGAACAAGACAGATATGCATTGATGTATCCATGCAGATGAAATTCCTTCCATAAATCATACAGTTTAGCAAGTCCAATCTAGGGCATACCATTAATTGCTTAAATTGGTGTCTCTGTTTTAGTTAAACATGTGAAAAGCAGTTTCAGCATAAGATACACAAACAACAGTTTCCTCAAGCTTTGAGGTCTAAAAAGAAATGAGCCAGTTTAGCATAGTGGTTAAGAGTCGCAGACTCTAATCTGGAGAACCAAGTTTGATTCCCCACTCCTCCACATGAAGCCAGCTTGGTGACCTTGGGTCACAGTTCTCAGCTATTATCTCATGAGCAGTTCTCGAAAGAGCTCTCTCAGCCCCACCTACCTCACAGGGTGTCTGTTGTGGGGAGAGGAAGGGAAGGAGATTGTAAGCTACTCTGAGACTCCAAGTGAAGGGCGGGGTATAAATCCAACTCTACTTCTATATTCACTTTTAATAATGCTATATTCTGAAGAATGTTTATTGGTGTGGTGTATTTATTGGATACATTACAATGGAACAATCTGTTCCCCCTCTGATATTTGTGTGGTTTTTTTATAAAGCAAACAACATTATCGTTACTGTGATTGCATACATTGTACTGTTTAGTTGCATTGCTCTTTATTTTTTATTTATTTTATTTCTGGTTGGTTGTATGTATGATACCATCTCTACTGTGAGTTCTGATTTTGTAATCTAATTTTTACTGCATTGTTTGTATGTGCGTTGTTTTTATTACAGTTTGTTGTATATTATACCAATTGCATTGTTTTTTAATTGTGC